AAAAACACAAAAAAATCCGAGCAGGAAAAAAACGCTTCTGGTGGCATTCTTTGATTTGTCCAGTAAATCTAGTTTTTGCAAATAAATAGTTGTTAGTTTATTGTTTGCATTATATTGACTTCTAGTTAAGGTTTTCTCTTGTGTTCCTTTTTCTGGAAGCTCAAGAATGCGTTCACACTTTGCGGCCGCGTTTTAAGTGTCTGTCAACGTTTTAGGCATTTTGAGCTAGTAGGAAAGTAAAGAATCGATCCAGCGAGCGTCCGCCGGCGCGTTTTGAGCGATAATCAATACCAACACTTTCTTAGTCGCTCAAAACACAGGGTTGCCGCAAAGTATGAACGCATCCTAAGGTTCATGTAATTTCATAAATTCAGCGAGGGAATGTTGGTGAACATATAACAAGAAGGAAATTAATTTTTGAACCATTTTGTAGCGAACTGGATCTCACTAGGTGTGGTTAAGGTACCATACCGGATGATGAAGAAAACTCCGACGACGGCGGTGCTGACGAGATTGATGCTATCAATGATGAGACTTTTGGAGATGATGTTCACGTGCCCCTTGACAGCGAGTTAGAAGACTACGCGGCTCAGGTCTGTGCAGTATCATTTCCAGTTTCTGTAAATAGTTAATGTGTACGTTTCAGACGGCCTGTCTTCGACTTGACGATGCAGGTCCATGGGATACTCCTGGTTGTTCCAAAGCACCTGCACCAGATGCTTCTAACGTTCCACTCCCAGACTTTGACGTGTTTCGAACGTCTTCCTTTTCGAGCTTCGGTAGCGAAACAATGGTCAGTTATATTTACTAGAGTTTTTACTTGTTAATTTACAAAATAATGAGTGTCACTCATATACAGAAGGGGGCCCATACCTCCATTCTCCACGATGATTTCATGGATTTTTGAATGCGCGTTAGACTCAGAATTTACATGGCGTTAACTTTTGAGTTTTTTCGAGCACAATTTTCACCCACCTCAATCTGCCACGTCAGCTTGCGTTCATACCTCGCGTCAGCATTTTTAGCGTACACCAGCGTAGGCTCACAACACTGGATCAATACCTATGCTTTCCTGATCGCTCAAACGCTGGCGTGAGCTCAAAACAGTGGCGCATAGTATGAACGCCTTCTTACTTTTTTTCATTATTTTTCTAAAGGAGACGGTATTCAAGGAATTTCAAGTCCAAAGTGATGCATATTGATTTTTTATATAGTTTTATCTCCTTGGTTACTGGTTTTTCAGTTCGCACTGTACAATTACCTGGTACGTAGATTTCGTCCCCTAAGATGTTAACGACTATGATGTGCGGCTTTCGTCACTTAAAAATTGGTGTTTAGGGCGCTAGAAGCTCTTGACCTAAAATGCTCTCCCGAGTCTGATGCCCCTCTCACTTTCAAATCGCGATCTACCCCAGTAACATGAATGATGGAAATCGCCGTTATGAAAGTGACGAGATGGGGAAAGGGAGTTGATAACAATATGCTATCAGTGGGCGACAGCTCACACTAACCTACTCTCTTAGCGTCATGTTCATGGAAAGCTCGAGACTGAGTGTCTCTTACCTAGCTTGAGCAACTATAATAGATAGGCAAGTCCATCCTCGTCGAAAACTCGTCCAAGCGCCGGCGAACTCGTACGATACACGAAACCAAGTGATGGAATTCTCAGCGTTTCTTTTAGTTTTTCTTCGTGAAAATGCCTTTTTGCATCACATCTTTCCGAGATCTGACGCACTGCCCACATTTGCCGCGGAGCAGTGTGTCTTTCAAATTCAACCTTAGAGCTTAAAAGTAATGAAAAGCTGCGGAGCAAAGGGTCTAGAGGAAAGACGATTCAGATAATATCATATCGGTCAATTTAGGATTACGGTGTTCAGTTATTAGGAAAAGCGGCCTAGACAGGTTCACCTGTGTATTCACTTATTCCTCAAGAGAAATGTTTCTTACGCACTTTGCCCGCAGCTCCCGTCTGTTCGATTTTTCAATGGAAATTGGTGCGACGCATGTATAATTGCTTATGTTGGCATTACATGTCAACTTCACACAATGCTTTTTCGCGGAGCGCGCCTATTGATCATGACCCTCTGAAAATCTCATTTTAGGCAAAGTTGGATTCATTATGGAGTCAAAGATCACACAATTTGTATGATCTTTGGGAGGAACAGAAGAACAACCCTCGTAACACGAACTCTAATCATTCGGCTTTTGTTCAAGTGAATACTTTTCCAGTTTACTTAGATATCACTTCCAGAAGTTTTCTTTCATTATTCGTTTTACTTATGGTATTGTTTTATTGACCCGTAGTTTCGACGGAAAATGAGGTACCGGCAGTTCAGCAGAAACCTCCTAGCGGATTTTCGCTTATTGGAGGTATTTCTCAAGCACTTGACAATGCCTCACAAGCGAATGCTTACATACAACATATAGGTCGGGCCAGTTCTTTTAACCCCTGACTATGCCTCGCTGGACTCCTACCGGTTAAGGATGAAAAATCGTTATTTTGAGTTGAAAAATCGAAAGAATTGAAAGCTGACGCGGTGGCTCACCTTTTTTGTTTCCCCGTGCCACTTAGATGCGTTGATACTTTTGCGTTAGCGGTACGAGGCAGGCGACAGCGACTGGAAATAAATGGTTATCAGGATCTAGCTTACCAAGCGTTTTCGCAGCGCGCTCTATGCTTTTGACTTTCCTGAAAAATTGCGATTGTCAGCGTCGCGTATTCAAACCTGTGACACCAAAAAACGGTGACTCCTAGCAGGTAGCGGACCCGTGCTACATCTGTGCTGTTAAAAAATCTTATTGTCATAGACGCTAAAACTCGTGAAGTTAAAGAATTGATTTAGTTAGAAGATTTGGAGCGAGGACATCTGCAACGATTGTCGAGCGTTGGCAAACCTTCAACTCCGAATGCCATGCCACCTGTCGCTGTGAATGCTGCCGATCTTGAACGACGGTTTATCGAGGAATCTGCAGGAATACCACCACCAGCAAATCAAATGATGTCACCCCGTACTCCTTCTCAATTTCCTCCTCCTTTACCATCACCATTACCATCACCACACGCTCAAATCCCTCCCAGAATGGTATGAAGTTGTTTTCAGTGTTTTTCTTTTATTGTTTTGTTGAAGATTACTTTCTCAGGCACCGAATGCGCCTCCTGGTTTCGCCGCCGGTGTTCCGCCAATGCACATCCCACCCCTTTTACCACCTCTTCATCCAGTGATGATTCCATTCGTGCCATTCTGGCTTGAACATCTCGCTGGTCGTGCGCCATGTCTGCCACCAGGATGTCCACCAGTTCCTCCTCTGTTACGAATGTTTTTCGATACGGTGAAGGTAATGCTTGGCTATCACTCTGTTCGATATTGTTGACCTGCACAAGCTCAGCGTCATTTCTGCTATTTCGTTCAGGATCCAATGGTGGTTATGGATATGATAAGAGCATCGAACGCAGGAATGGTGCCTCCTCCGTTTCCAGTGCCACCACAAAGCTTTGACAGGCGCTCTCAGGTAAGAATAGGAGTCACTTTATTTTGGGTCAATTTCCGCAAATTTCTTTGGGTATCTCTTTTATTTGAAAGAGCCAGCTCTGGTGCTGTAGCAATAATGAAGCTTTGTCCCCTTGTCTTCCTTTGGCGCGCATTCTTCTATCGATCGATATTTAGTCTTGGTCGCTGCGAATGAAGAGGCGTGTCAGGCAGGATGGGTTTGGCGCGGCGCCAAGCCGTTTTTCACCAGCTGTCGTCACAAGCAAACGAGTGCATATCGTTCGTATCAAACGTTTTCCACTAGTTGTTGGAGCGGGTTTGGCACCCACCAGAAGGTCCCGCCGCTTCATCCGCAGCGAAAAGGGACTGTATCTTCCTCACGTACATCTTAAAAACACGCGTACTTGAGTTATCGAGTCATTCTCCAGTTCAAAAATCCTTTTATTCGGAATACAATGTTCTTTGGTGTTTTTGGATCCCCTGCTGTATGCTTTGCACCAGAATTTCATGCCTGGGAAAACGCCCTTGTTTTCCGTGACGAATGAAATATAACAGTGTCATTTTTTATGCAGTTAAAGTAACGTTTGCTCATTGCAGTGGCAGCGAAAAGCACCTGGAATGCCGTCTGGTCGCACAATAGAGGACCTCGCGTTTGACCAATTCGCCGGCTACATGTCTTGTAAGGAGAGGGAGTGGCTTGTTAAAATACAAATACTGCAGTGTCAAGGAACTGGTAATCCCTACGAAGACGACTATTACTATACAGTACGTTATTTATAAGTTTAATTATTGATTACTGTTGTGACCATGATGATCCTTCAGACTTGGCGCGAAAAGCAGATTGCCAAAGGGTGGAAACCGCGAGTCGAAGTCATCCCTCAGGGTCCATCATGTGACAAAATCAAGGTACTATTTTATGGGTATGTGTCAAGACAATCGTAGTATGCCGGTCCGGTGGATGTGGTCAGCGACGCCGCGCGCGACGACGCGACGAAGACGATTGTCTTGTCTGCCTACTTTACTTCGTTTCGTACTGCTTGCTAGAAAATCGATTATATTTCAGGATAATGAGAGAAGGCTAAGACGCTTGAATGGCTCACGAAGTGTTATTGACGTGTCGAGAGAACCAAAAGAATTGGTGCCACTGAATGTTAAATTTGCCGGTTCTCTTGGCTTGCCATCCAAATCTTCCACTAGTAACCCAAGACATGTGAGAGGCATTTCCAGTATCGTTTTTATTACATTTTTGTTTGCCTTATACCATTGTTTTTTTCCTACTGTCTTCAAGTTTTTTTTTTCAGTTGATCAGTGTAGAACATAATGTGGACAATGCCGACGAAGATGCCTCACAACGTGCAGGAAAACAAAGGAAGTTACGAACGCTGCTACTTCGTCTCGAATCCGCTCTAGCTTTACTTATCGAATGCCAAGACCTACGTGTTCGAATGCGGAATTGCACACAAAGCAGGTTGCTTTTTGGATGGTACCTAACATTTTTTGTTTTTAAGGGTATTTCCTTCCTTATTATTTATTTGATTATTTGTTAATAGACGCAGAAGGATCGCCCGTGCAAGAAGTCAGCCATAAAACCTGGATAAACCGAAAGAATAAAGGATAAAGTCTTCGCCGTTGATCAATCCCTTTGTGGGATGCGGCACGCATTCTACTTCCATTCAGAATCGTAGTGGCTTATTGAATGCGATGTGGCCTATACAATGACTTGCGGGGCCAGCCGATGTACAAGTCAGTGTTTTATCCTCCCAGACGAATCTGGTACCAATTTACCGTCTTTTGGGGAGGGAGTAATGGGGCGATGTAGAGGCATGGTTTTCCTAGGCGATAAGGGATTTCATCTTCCAACCCGTGGTAGGCGTTCCTTTCCCCACTACACCACCTACACCTCCGACAGTTCGAATGAATATTGTTCACCAATCATTTCCATGATGCTTAGGAACTCTAAATTGACGAGCATAGGCTTTGATGCAAAATATTCCTAGCGATAAAGAGAGTTTTTTTTTCATCAAAGTTTTCGTTCTGTAGATTTGGCACTCTAGTAGACAAGTATTTCGTTCTGTCCGGAGTTCTTCTATTCTTCGTTTTTTTTGGCCAATGCCCCTGGCCAATTGAAAAAAAATTATCAGTTAGAGTGTGCTCATACTTTGCATCAGCGTTTTGTTTGCCAGCGTTTCTAGCGAGTAGTCAGCCGCCCAATACGCTAGGTCTGCTCATTACTGAAGGTAAAAGTGCGATATCAATATTTTATTTGTCGTTGAAGATTCTGGTGTACGCTGAAACTCTGACGCAAAGGTAGGAACGCACTCTTATCTGTAGCAAGGAATGGTTCAGTAAGCGATTCGGAATTTGAAAATGAACTTTGCTTCATTTCAGTGAGTCGGCTCTATCCGAAATCTCGCGTCGCATCGATGTCATATTCCAAGATCTCATGACAGAAGATCTTGTCAAGATACTGCAGGTATTTTTTTCAGTGCATACTGTCGTATCCTTTCCGTATAAGATCCTTCCGAACAATTGTAATTTTGGTGCCTTGGAAGTAATGGTATAACACATGATTTGCTAGTTTGGTTGTTGGTGATTTGAGCGGTCATGTAATTAATTGCTCGGGCTTTTCACCGGTGTTGAGTGAGAGGTGGCTTTTGCGGATCTTGTGGCATTGGAAATCTTATCTTTACAAATAATTGTGATGTTTATCTTACTGAGGCAAGTTCTTTCCCCCAAGAAATTACCGTGAATGCATAAAATCATCGTCTCGGTCTAATGACACTGATTGCATAATTCCTCAGAGGAGTTTTCATAAGGGTTAGGATGAAAGGCCGAAAATTTCTTCCAAAAAATCGGGATTTTCTCATATGGTGTGGTCTTTCAGATAGGAAAAGGACGCTCCGTAGTTGCTCGAGCGCTTACTGTTGGAACAGCCAGAGATGTTGCTCGCATTGTTTTGTCGTTGTTTTCAGTTATGGGTTTGTGCTCGAAGAAATGTATAGAGGATGTGAGTTTTTTTTTCTTTCCAGTCTAATTGCTTCTGTAATAAATTCGAGCCGTTTTGGTTTTCGTTATGATTTTTCCATGAAAAGGCATGGTTTTGGTATCGCTTCAGTGAGCATTTTCTTGCAAACATTTTCCAAAAGTTTGCCAATGCTTTCTATTGTAGAAAGTTTTCTCTTAAAATCCAGTTCCTTGCTCTTATGAAAAGATCGCGCGTAGTCCAAGCATGGAAGATTTATAGACGTGGTTCTGCACGAGTTTCTTTATGGAGCATTTCGAGCGGCTATTTTTTGTTTTTTCTCTTCTTTTATGTTATTTATCATCGTGTGATTAGAATACCAGTCGCATAGCTCACCATTTTCGAGGCATGGCTTTAACGCAAGTATAGACAAGTTGTATACCAAAGTATTCAGAAAAGTTATACGAAACCACTGTTCTCTCAAATACTCTCAGTCTTTTCTTACGCTGACGAGATTTCAGGCCATAAGTCCATGTTCTCACCCATAGACACCATTGACGTTCTAACCCTAGTATCAAAAGCATACGTTCCTGATCAAATTCAAGAGAATTAGAAACTAACCAGTGACCGCTTTGTGATGAGAATGATACCAGAATCATTTAATTATTTTCCTCAGAATATTGCGACATCTAGATGGCATGAAAATTTTCGCAATCTTCTCGTTATACCCCGTGTCCGTGTTAACAATCTGAGTAACAACAATATGACATCGGAGCACGAATAGCAGTACATTTTTGCAGATAAACTGCGAGGTAGTTCCAAGTATGTTTGCTGGACTAATGGAGTTGAGCAGAGAGCAACTGATGGCCTTGTCGTCAGCGGTGAACATTGATTCTGTTAAGGAAAACATTGTTAACAAAAATACTGTGAGTTTTCCCCTGTAGGTTCATTTGAAAAAGTTGTCGGTTCGATTCAATACTTCATAACGAATTTTCAGTTTTGTCGGGATGCTTTCATCACCCTCTTGTATGCTTGTGCTAAACGAAAGGCTATTGCACAAAGTATTGTACGGTGGTTAACCGGTCCACCCGATGAAATTGACTTCATAAATGGCTGGTAAGCGTTTCCAGATCAATTGTTTATATCTGAGGACTCGTAGGATTTTGATTGGGAGGTGTACGTATATAAAAGCAGCTTTTTGTGAACTCCTTTCCTCTCATTGAACAGCCAAGGCTTGCCAATCACTTCTTCATGATCCTTCGACCGCGAACTATGTAAGCTAGATCCACCGAGCGATTGCTGAACAGCTAAAGTAAAGTCAAAAAGGAACATCGTGGCGAATCAAAGATGGACTTTTTTAAGGGAAGGAGGGGAGTCCGGAGTGGCAGAGCCCTTGTCATGGAAGGTAGGGCTGCGGTAGAAACGGTAGAGAGAATAGAGCGGAGACAAAACTTGGGTTTTACGCGATCGAAGAGAATGGGCTCAAGATGCCCGTAGAGAGAGTCCAAGAGGAGTCCAGGTGTGTCGCGACGAAGGATCGATCACGATAGCATCTTTATACCCGTACTTTCTTCATGCAAAATAGCGAGGGAATGTGTTGACCATAAAAGTACTGTGGTCATATCACTTTGATTACGCTGTCTAAACGGCAGGGAGGTAAGAGAGAGCATGCAAACCAAAAAAATGTGCTGCTCAGAGACACTCCGCTTCTACGATACGCTGGTATTAGGGTTAGATATGATTCCTAGATGGTAGTTGATCTGCCAGTGAAGGCAAAGATGGACAAAACCGGTAAAGATGCTCAAGATAAGGCTCTAGGGAAGGACAAGTGCTCCAGAAAGCGAGATAGTGCTGCCCGGCCTAAAGACGAGAGGCAGGTCTCGACAGCGAAGAGGAAGTAGTGTCGGCCCTAAACAGAAGGACGCATTCTGTACATCTGTTTCTGCAGATATACAACCTTTAGCACATATCGTTCTGGGAATGCCATCGTTATGTGAAAAGTGGCGGTCTTACTACGCCACATCAAATTCTCCGCCACCCTTTCTGGTAGATAGGTTTCTTCCAACGATGCTGTACCCTGATCCCATTCTCGGATGGGTGAGGCACTTTGTGCGGGTATTCTATTTTTGGCTCATGACGGACGCGCGCCAGTCACTGTGGAGTCGCGGCAGTGGGGCAGCCTCTGAGAAAACGTTCATACATCCAGCGTATTGAGGAAAGTATAGATATCGGCGCTGGCGTGCGAGCGGAACGCTGGAACCTATACTTTCCTAATCGCTCAAACCGCCGAAGCAAAGTGTGAACGCTTTGTGAGATTGCGGAGCCGCTAGAAAACGGTTCCACAAATCAGGTGATTGCGTGTCTTTAAGGGACAGAGTTCGAACAGTCCATAGATAATCTCGCGGAAACATACATCTCACCTATAAATTAAAAAATAGTAAAGTGTTTCTTTTAAGGTCTTCTTCATTGTCCGTATGGCGGGAACAGTTACCTGGGTTGCTGGATTCAGATGTGCAAACGTTTGCTGAATGGTTGCTTTTTCTTTGTGACAATACCCACTATAATTCACTTGCCAAGTTACTTGCTAAAGCATTGCTTTCGTGTAGATAAGCTTTTCATTATATATGACATAATGACAGAAGTGGTGGTTACATTGCGTGATACAATTTGCTGAAGTTAGCCCGTCAGGGTGGTACACGAGTCTTTCCTGTCGAGCCGACTGTGTTGTTCTCAAATAGTGGGTGCTCAATGTTCAGATTTTTCACGTTCTAATTAAGCCCAAGTTCATAGTACTTCCTCACTCTAATATTCAATCATAGTATTGTAGTTCTATGTAAGTATGCGGAGTATTTATCGATTCAGTTTGTTGCTTGGTTGTTTTTGTCTTTGGTATCGTTGAGATTGGCCTTTGAAAGGCGCAACACTCACCTTTTATATCTTATAGAAGCCGGTTTTATGTGTAGCGTTTACTGCGATGTAATTTGAAAAGGGTCACTGCATTAATAGCTCTGCTCTTTTAGTAACCGTGTATTTGCGTTCATGTGACTTGGAGTCGTATTAACCTATTTTCTCGATGTCTTATAAAAACCATTTAGCTCGCGATTCTGTAGAATATGATCTGGGTATTTCTCCCAACGTTTTCTTTTTTGTCAATGTAGGTTCTTTCATGGAATTCTCATTGCTCAGGCTGCGTTCATACTTGGCGTCAGCGTTTTGAGCGCAAACACAGCGGCGTTTTGAGCGATTAGGAGAGTATGATATCGTTTCGTTCAGCCTTTCGAGCGTACGCCATAGTTTTGAGCTTTTGCGGGCAATAGCAAATAGCTGGTGTACGCTCGAATCGCTTGATCGATACCTATGCTTTCCCGCTCGAAACGCTGACGCAAAGTATGAACGCCAATCTATGTCCTACCTCAGTGCAGACATGGAGGCCGTTCGAGGATTCTGGAACCAGATCGTCACTACCAAGCGGTTATACATGAATCCGCATGAACATTTTGGACGAGCGAATATATGTCGGGCTGCACTTGCTAGTTATGTAGGAATCTACCTCGCTTTTAGATGGAATCAGAAGAGAAAGGTGGGTGCCAGAATGCCGTAATTTTCAAAGGATTTCTCCAGTGTTTTTTACAGTATCACGAGTTTCTATCCTTCAGGCAAGAAATCTCCTCAGAGAACAAGCAGCAGAACGTGAGAACGTACTTAACGACGCGTTGGCTCGTACAGGAGGACACTAGGAGTTGAAAAGATACTAGTTAAAATTGCTGTCGGCATTGTAGAAGATAAGAATAAACCTTAAGCCTCTTGAATAAACATGCAGGTGTAAGAGATTTCTGTTTATGTGAGGTGGGGCACGGTGGGTGGGAGGCGGGCAGTTACTGCTTACGTCATTGGTGGAAAGGCTTCGATAAGGCGGACGTTTGGCCCATCCAACTCAGCCCTTTCACCAATAGAGTTGGCACTAACTGCCCGCCCCATTCAAAGCCCGCTGCCTTAAGCTACTTTTCGTCCAGGCTGTCCAGCTTTATCAAAAGGCATGGCTACATGAGGTGAGGCTGGATGAAGCTCATCATACTGCACAAACAGTCCTTGACCCAAGAATCTTGAACTATTGCAATCACTAGGTGAAAAAGAGTATGGGGGAAAGTTCTCTTTGAAGTGCCATTGAAGTTTCCATACACGATGGAGTATTGCGTCTCGGGTCATCTGCCATCCACGAATATTTCCTTTCTTCTCCCTCGCACTTTTTTTTCATGCTCTATTCCTCTTCCTTGTTCCATCAGACTCTCCATCCTTTCAATGTGGAACGGTGCCACGAGTAATCGTCCCTGCACTCTCATACTCAAGAGAATTCTCCTGGACAGATACCTTGTAACCCACATCGTCCCCTTTTTCACCAAGTCTGGCCAGCCTAACAAAAAAATCGTAGATTTGCGTGTTTGATACACACTATTAATCTGTCTGCTGAGGTGATGTCTTGTCGATTCTGAATGAGTTGACAACAAAATATGAAATATCCACAGCATGAAACGGTTCCAATGTGCAAGGTTTGTATTTCTGAGGAGCTGAGGGAACTCGCACATCCTACAGGAGGGGTTTCTGTTCTCTGTGCGAGTCCCCTCAGCTTCTCAGCAACAATGCAATCCTGCCTGATACGTTGTTATGTACTAGATCTGTGCTGGAACTGATACAAGACGGATGTAAGCCCCAGCGGGTAGAAAAAGTTGCCTAAGAGATCCGAAAGCCTCTAAAGACAGTTGGTGATTAGCTAATCTGCAGCCGAGGCGCTCAAGCGCCAATTTACCGGAACAGTTTATCCGTGACAACGAACAAAAATATGCGGAACTAGCAGTTGCAGAAACAGCTCGTATTGCGATACGGGCGTGACACCGTTGAAGAGGGCGATGGGCTGTGACAGACTGCAGAAATCCAGAATCTGGAACCGCGTAGGGAGTCGCCCTTCCTTCCATTTTTGGGCGCCAACGTGTTGGCGGAGTTGAGGGGGCACTCACAAAGTCAGCAACGTCTTGTCAGCAATGTATCTGTGTCCTTTTCCCAAAAAGTCTCAGGCTTATAGCGATCTGAGTCATCGAAGTGTAGTCTTGCAGAGGATTCGTCGTCATCACTAAGCCTGAGGTTTGTTTATTTGAAGAGATCCATAGGCTCAGCCAAGGAACCGTACTCCTCCTTCCACCTACGTTAGCGCTCACCTGCCGTTACGCACGTGTGTTCTCAGAATCAGTAAAGCGTATCCTTCTCTTCCCCATCACATGAGTAGTCGCCAGCTGTCTTTACCCCATTCCCCTCCCACCTTATGTCTTCCGCCAAGTGAAATGAAGGACTCTCAGTGAAGATTCCAGGCTCTTGACAAGGACCACGTGAATCTTTTCTCGTAGTTTCCCCGAATTTGATGATCTCAGTTCTGAACCTTCCAGGTCTTACAATCAGGGGAGTCACAGAGTTGCGTATTGAGTGCACACCTTATAATACTTTCAAGGATGTTTATAATACTTTCGAGGATCATCATGAAACAACTTTCAAGGACGTTTGGCTTCGTTTTCGAAGACTCAGTTGCGCTAAGCGCCTACATCCCAGCTCCTCTCATTTTGAAACCTAGGCACTCTTCGACACTACTTTGTCCCCCTGTTTTTGCGACGAGGTTTGAAGTGAGAACAACAGGTACATTTTTCCCTTCCCACTCTCAATGTCGTGCCTATATATAGCCCATGAAGCGTGACGTGTGAAATGACCTCATTTACAAATACAAAAAACCGATTTTTCTACTGACGCTACGGTAGCACTTTAGTGTGTAATGGCGTGCGGTTTCGTGGAATAGCTACGCCTTGTTGCACAAAAATGTTTGATTCCCATTCTACGACTTTAGTGTGGCCTGAAGTTTTCAAGTTCGTTGTGGTTCTACTTTCTTTCACTTCTGATATGCAAAACACAGCACTGTTTTGAGAAAATGCGGTAGGTTTCGCTATTCAAATTTTCTTCTCGTGAATGTATTTATTTGTACACATGTGCGTGCTGCCTTTTGCATTGACCAGGAAGAAATTATCTCACATAACCGATATCTCTAGGCCCTCTGTTCTGCCAGTATTAATTTTTTTCGACGAGCCTATAGTCTTTTATCGAGAAAACTCTGACTGAGCATTTTATCGGCTTGTCGCGGTCCATTTTATATCCGTCTTTCCATTGAAATCGATTTTTTTGTCACTCTGCAGAGACTGGTTTTCAATGAATTGTGCCTTTTTCATGGATTCCTTCAGACTCGCCAATGCGGCTGATTAGTTGTCCGGAAATTCAGCGTTTGAGTGTTTCACTTTAAACGATCATAACTTTCTTAATACTCATCGGATTCAATCGAAATAAGCACCGTTCGAATCAGCACACTTTTGCCAATGTGACACCAGTCGATAAATCCCATCAAGAAAAAACTGGGTGGTCGAGAATCCACGAAATCCACGAAAGCTTTTTTGGCCTGGTCACTGATTGTGGAGTATTTTCCATGCAAGAAGTCTACTGAAAATGTTTGAGAAGGTATAGTCTGTGACGAAGTTTCTGGAGAATATGGCGGATGAGGTAGAACTTCAACCCTCAATTCGTTCAATTTATGGATAGTGATTTGTGAAACGTGTGGGCGGCCGTTGTCATGCAAAGAATCAGACCCTTTCTGTTGACGAGTGCTGGCTGCAGCTGACACAATTTTCGTTCTTCACAGCAGGACTCTGCTAGGATATTTGGCACACAAAAAGTATAGGGATCACACGCAGCTCGAGACCATCACACTGTGATCGTAATCTTTTTTCGCGGGATTCGTTGGAAATTACCTCGTAGTTCGTCGGCATCCAACCACTGTTCGGAACGTCTCCTGTCATGCATGATCCACTTTTCATCACAGGTGACAATTCGGTCCAAAAACGGGTCGTTTCTGTTGCGCAAAAGCAGTGAAGAAGAAACCTCGAGACGTGCCAATTTCTGCCGGTCACTCAAATTGTGGGCACCCACTCGAGTTTTTTTTTACGCTTCCAGTAGTTTCAGACCATACGGCAATCATGCATTGCTAGACGCCTAGCTTTCTGCAATCTCTCGAACTGTTTGGGATGGGTCAGCCTCCACAAACCCCTTCAAATCCTCGTCAGGTATTGCTTTAGGTCGACCGCTACGAGGTTCATCTTCAAGGCTGAAATCTCCAGAACGAAATTTGTCGAACCATTGTCGCACGGTGCTTTCTCCAACACTATTGGGCCCCCACACCTGGTTAATTTGTCGAGCTGTCTCGACTGCGGATTGACCCAATTTGTAGTTGAAGAAAAATATCGTCCGAAGTTGCTCTTTTGACATGCTTCAAAGTCTTGGGAAAAGGGGGTTTATCAAGCAATGGTGAAACGGCAATTATACCATCAGATAGCGCAAAAAATTCTCTTCAGGATGTACTACTGAGACGCAAGGGAGAATGAGTTTTCAATCAGCAATGAATGTACAAAAAATAGTAACACAAAACGCTAAGAACTTTCCGGACAACCTAATAGTTACCATTTTTTAATGTCTGTTTTTATGTATAGGTAACCGTCGAGTTTGTGGCTCTGGCGACGTTTTTACAATAATGGTTGAAATAGACGTAAATAAAGAAAATGAAGAGGAGCCCAACTTCTCTGATCCAGAGGACTTCGTCGATGACGTCACTGATGAAGGTACTTTATGATTTTTACTCCATTTTTATTACTTTGTTCAACATGTATAGGATTCTTTTTAATCCGCACCCCTTTTGTTAGGAAATACTCCTAGAAAGAACAATTAAACCAAAAATGAAGTGACGAAGGTGTTGAAATTCGTAAAGCTATACATTTTGAAAGGTTCTTTTCAGAACTTGTCATGGACGTTTTGCGGCAAAAACCTTCTATGGACGAGTACGAAGAGTGCTGTTTGATTATTTTTGGGCTTCCTATAGTTGGTCCTGAGAGAGTTGCTAAGTTACGCACTGTGCTTAGCAAAGTCTTCACTAATGTCGAGCCAGATCACAAAGCATATTTCCCACCTTCGGAGGATGGAGGAAGCAAGGCAAGTTTATCCGAAACGGTGACAATTCAAGCACAGCTAAGATCCGTGCAAACGATAGGGCATGTGACGGAGCGTGACCTGGAGATCAATCAGATCTCCCACCTATGGTAGCGGATGCAAAATGCCATCATTGGTGGAGAAAGTCCGCTCTGCTGCCTTGCAATCTGCCCCGTGTTGCACGCCCTATCGTTTTCAGTGACCATTGTATTTAATGGAATCATTTAGGGTTGTGTATTCATTGAGTTCCCCGATAAGGTGAAAGCAGAATACGCAAAAGGTGTTCTCAATGGATACAAGCTGGACAAAAATCACGTCTTCTCCGCCCTACTCTTCAACGAAGCTCGAAGTTTCCAAAAACCGCCAGAGGACTGGCAGCCACCCAAACCGAATCCTTATAATGATGTGGTAATGTGTTTGATCATTAGTTTGCTAATTGATTCGTGAAAGATTTCGTAGTCCGAGAGACCGCTGCTACCGTAATATTCGCTACTGGTTTAGTTTCCAAAAAAGGGACTTTTAATTACTATTAGGTTGTTGCATAAGTTTCACCCCCCCCCTGTTTTGATCCTTCCGTATTTCGTTTGCATGGAGATTGGTATTGTCGTCATACGTGTGCGTGAGTGTACATGTACCTTTACCACACTAGCTATCACTGCCCCACTAGGGTGACAAACCTGCGCCCACCCCCAACCAAACAACAATGCATTTGCAGCTCGCATGTCTTGCACGATCCCGTGCAAACCATGTCACAGTGGTGATTTCTGTGGACCGGTCAGCGCGTGCTTCTGGAGCGATTTCATCGAAAAGCTGCTGAGCGTTGCGTCGAGTAATGATGGTCGAATGCATACTATAATTTCAGGCTGGTTCCGCTATTGAGTAATTTGGAAAGAAGTCGGGGAAAGAACTTTGGGCAACAATTTAATATACGGAGAGTGTCGATATTTTGGGAAGCGTGTTTGAGGCGTTTTGGCGTTTCGAGCGATGGGGAAAAGTATGGATATATCACAAGTGTTTTGTGCGTCTGTTCGAATTCCGTTATTAATTGGTGTTATATTTTAGTAGATTTAACACCTTGAAATCCTGTAATAGGTATAAATCAAAAGCGCTGGATTGATACAGATATATTTCCATAGTTGGCTCAACAAAGCCTGCCAGAACGCTCGAAAACGACCTGAGCCCGCAATGATATAGCGGACGCCTTAAACCCGTCTTTGGGAACCACCGCGTGTGTACGTTTCACCACATTGACTCCCTCACTTGGTACGGAATGCACCCTAAGCGCTCGTGACTCCCTCACTTGGTACGGAATGCACTCTCAGCGCTCGCCCTGAGCCTAGAATGGGGAAAGGGTTCCTGCAAAGAGCTGGGTTACGATAGCGGCAATCACGTACTGCGAAATCTCTTTCATGTAATTGACTGTTTTTCAAAGTGTAGAGATAATTTTACAGGGGGATCTTTGGTGGTGGATGCAACATCCTCGATGTCGCGATCAGTTCGCAGTACAGTACGAAAAGGATGGCGTACCAACTGTGGCATGCTATTGGCACATAAAGGGGCATGACCCTGAAATTGCTGGTGAACAAGGAAAAGCTGAAAGAGCGGTACGTTTCAAACATTCCTTGTGAACTTCATTTCGCATTCCTAGCTTTTTAGTCCTGGACTGATACCGTCTTTAAATGGTCACCTCATGGCTCTTATTTGACCACTATTCACAAACGTGGAGTGGCCCTGTGGGGAGGACCAGAGTTCGCGCGAGTCCAACGATTTGCCCACCACAACGTGCAGTTTATCGATTTTTCTCCTTGTGAAACGTAGGTTTTGAGATAACTTCCTGCATTTTATCAGTTGCATGTGATGTAATCTGTCCAGGTATTTGGTGACGTATGCTGAATCTGCTGAGAAAAATCACTGGGGTGATGACGAGGACTGTCTTCGTATCTGGGACGTTGTGACCGGAGAAATGTTGAAGGGATATTCTCTCTATGCGCTCACGAATCGCGATCAGTTGCCTTGTTGGCCTTTCTTCCAGTGCGTTTCTTTTTGGATCTTTGGTATTAATTTTTTTCTCGTTCTTCGAAATATTTGTCGACTTTCGTTCCCGGAAGTAGATTTGTCTGGAAGTTTGTCCAGAGAATCGGCTTAAACACAGCAATCACATCTGGCACGAAACCCCACAGCGTCAACACCAAAGCACCTCAAATTCGCTGAATGCTTGTGCTCAGGAAAGGGGGAGTCTGAATTATGATTACGAATACCCCATCCATTTGGCTCGAAATCGCGCGGCACCCACGAAGAGGGCCCTACCGGAAATTCGTTACCTAGATCTCCTAAAAGAGATTCAAGGGCATTGAAAGCTCATGCAGGTCATCGTAAAATTCGTCAAACTTTCTTACAGCTGTACCTTGCAGGACCGTCTGCTAATTATAAAAATTAAAATTCGATTTTTACTGATCCAACGGGCCACCATTCATGGGCCTCAGACTGCTGTGAGTGCT